GATATCTAATAATGAATATTTTGATCGCTGCCCATTAATTGATAATTACGCACATTTTTAATGACTACTAGTTATTAATATTATATATATAATTAGGATTAGGAATATATTTTTTATTATATGTTTTTAATTTCATTATATTCTTTCTGTGTAACCAAGCTGTCTTCTTGAGGTGGAAAAAAGAGAGAGAGAGAAAGAAAGCTGTCTCCTTCATCTTGATTTGCATGTGTGTGTATATATAAAGTATAGATAATGAAAACTAAGAATGGTTACATGGTTGTATTGGCTTTCTCTAACTGCCAATAACTATTCTCTACCTCCCTACAGCAACTTGGAGGATCATCTAGAAAATTTTAGCATTGTCATATGCTCATGCTTTAGAGTTCTGAGTAGAAGAGAAGGTGGAAAGGAGTCAAGGACAAGGAAATAACTTTTGATTAGTTAGAACGGGAGTTTAGAGAAAGAAAAAAATTCAAGTAAAGCTTTAATCGGCAGCCAAAAAGAAAATAAAGCTGAAAATCGACATGGCTTAATTTGCAACATGAAAGCACTATCATTTAATGGAGCGTCTAGTTGATAAGGTCAAGAATGAGAAGACAAACCTATCTAAAAACATAGCCCTTCCAAAGAGGTACAAAACTAGTAAACTCTCTTTCCTCAAGGCTCTTAGTGCAAAGTACAAACTATACACATGCATGGCTGTCTGTAATATCCCTATTTTCAATTGAAATTAAATAGTAAAAATTGAGATTTATTGTAGAAATTAGTTGAGAATCAATATTATTGTTATTATTATTGAGATTGGATTGATAGGAAGTAAATTAACAATTCCATTATTGTGAGGAATGGTGGTGAAATGAATTGGAATTGAGGTTGATTGAGATTGATCTTGTAATTACACTATAAACGATGACTAAAGTTGGGCCTAGGTTGATATACTAGGTTTAAATATAGTCCATCATATGTATTGGGTCAAATTAGACCCAATATTGTGGGCTAAATGAGGGAGGCAACCACTGCATCATGCGCCGCGATGTAGGATGGGCCCGTTGTGGCACACGACATGTAAACAGGCTTAATTGTCTATTTAATAGACAAAAAAACAAAAGAGGAGGGGGAGTGAGTTAGGTGTGAAATTATTTTCCTTTATTAAAGTTTGGTGAAGCCATTATTTAAGAGGCTCAAACCACTAAGGTAAACTTGTCTAAACTCGCTCTTACCTTATACTCCTCTATTATAGCTAGTTTTTTGTGGTTTTGATGCTAGGGATTTCCATAGGTAAGGTTTCTAGCCTTAGGGTTTGAATTACATGAGTGTCTTAGGTCAAATAAGCTTAGTGAAGTTATTTTGAGGCCTGAAAACCCTAGAATGTTTGGGTGGGTTAATGATGATTTAAGTTATCTAAAGGTGAAATAAGTGTTTAGGAAGAATTTGGGTGAGTTTAAGGGTTTAAAAGGTTCTGACAAATTTGGGTTAGTTAGATTAATTAACCTACCCTTAAGATTGGAGTGTGATTAGTGTGCTAACACTTTAATTAGTATTAATTAACACTTTATTAACCATAGTTAGCATTTTAATGCACGTAAAATGTGGTAAAAACACCGAAGAAGGTGATGGTGCTCTTGTGTTGGGAGCTCTAATTGCAAGAAAATAAGGTAACCATTATTAATGTGTGATTGTGTGTCTCTTGTGACTTGTTATGTTTGTCTTGTTTGAAAGTAAATATATTGAGATAAGCGTGTTTTTATTGTTTGAAAAATAATTGCCAAGTGGAATAATTATTTATATGTAAATATATACACTTTTTATTTGAAAATGATTATTGTTTGAAAGTATATAATTGTTCAGTTATTTGAAAGCATGAAATATTAGTTTATTTGAAAAATATGTGTTGTCTGATTATTTTATTTGGATTTGTTATTTTACCACATGGTAAGATCTCATTAAATTCAATGAGTGGCTATTTGCTAGGACTAACCCACCTTTGACTAGGTGATTTGGTCCTAAGCATAAAGGTAGGAGGGATATAAAATGTTTTGTGTTAAAAATATAAATTATTTGTTTTTTGTCTGGATATCTATTATTTATAAATCATCTTCCATGCTTCACTTAGCAATTGCATGATAAGTTGCATTGCATGTATAGTTGCATATTAATCTTGATTACTGAGTCTTCTAAGTCTCACTTTCCATGGTTAATGTTTTATAAGAAATAGTTCGGCTGAAGAAGCATTAGAAGCCTAGTTTGGTGTGAGTAAACACCAATAGGTCATGTTGACCTCTTTTTTTTGGAATATTTATGTAAATTACCAACCTTAAGGCATTTGAATTGTTAATGAGCATGTGACTCTCCTATTTTGGGACAAACTCGTAATTAAATGCTTGAAGTGATTTTTGTGACAATCATGGCTTTTATATTGTGATTAAGGGCCTGTTTGGATTTTAGTTGGGTATAATTGATTATAAAAATAATTAATTAATATGATTAATTTTGATTATAATTGATTATGTTATAATACAATCTGTTTGAATAATATTTTTTTGAAAATGATTTTAGCTGTACAAGTTATCGAAAAAGAAATTACTTTTCAAAATTAAATTATTGATAAAATTATATTTAATATTATTAAATTTGTTAAATTTTATTTAAGAAGTAAAATATATTATTTAACAGTAAAATTAAATTTATAAGTAACCTCTTATAGCTTATTTCTAAATGTGATTCTGGTTCAATAATCATTTATCAAATTTTTTGGCTGTTTGGGTAATTTTTACAAAGATCAATTATTTTTCCTTAAAAATTGATTATACCATCCATCCAAACAAGCTGTAACTAGAATCAAGTTTCAAAAAGTATAGATATTGAAGTTTTTACCTAAAGCATTGCATGGTACACTTATAATTGTATTGGATAGCTGTAACCTAACTATGAGAATTTCACATGCATGTGTCAAGTTGTAATTTTGAAATTGTTGTTTGGAGTGAGTTTGAATTGGTCAAGAGTTCTACATAATGGGCTAAAGCTTTGGTTATAGCTTGGAGGTGTTTGGAAAAAGTGGTATTTTGTCTCATCATGTGTTTTAGTGGAAAAAATCCTCAAATGGAGGAGTTTTAATATCAACTAAAGCCAATAACTAGATTTTTTTCACGTTGACACTTGAATCATTCAAATCAAAATTTTATATGAAAATTTATGCATTTTTGAAGTTTAAAATTTTTGACAATTTGCACAATGACATCAACATTATGTGCCATAATGCACGTCACAGAGGAAAAAGTGCCTTTTTTGTGCCATATGTTATGATACATGACAGCAAGACATGACATGGCTCAATTTTTCTAGAAATGCCCTTTTTCAAAAATTTATTACTAGAATGATCCCTCTTGACCCTTTTACCCTTTTCTAAGTTATTTTTGGACAAATTAGTCCTTGGGAACCATGCTTTGCTTTTGTTTTAGAGACTTTTGCAAATTTAGCTCATATCATATGACCAAATAAAAATAATAGCCCAACCTTTCTTAAATTTAAACAATGGCCTTTTAATATTTATCTGAAATTTAATTAACAAAACTTTTCTTTTAAAATTATAGTGCTTTAGTTTTTTAAAATGCCTAAAGATCCTAAATATAATAGAATAGAGCAAATGAATGAAGACTTAAATTGTTCATGATTTTTTATTTTATTAGTTTAGATATTTGATTGTCTGTGATAAGCTAAAGGTTCAAAATTTTTTGCAAACTATGTTTGATCCATTTTGAAAAAATGATTCTGTATTTTTTGTATTATTAATATGGCTTATATATCAGTGATATATAATAATATATCATTGATGTACTATCATAAATTAATATAACTAAACAATCAGATATAAACTTGTTTATTATTGTATATCAATAATGTTGTATCGTAGATCTGTAACATGAAAAACACATAATTATTTGCTCAAAACAAATCAAACACAATTTGCAAAAAATTTTGGACTCTTAGTTTGTCACAAAGAATCAAATACTTAAACTAATAAAATAAAAAATCATGAACAATAAGAGAACAATCTATGTTTTCTGATAATAATTCAAACAAAGTTTCATAATCAATGACAACAAATCACATATTACGAACAAATGAACAACTATTTGATAAAAATATTATTGAGAAATATGACGATGGTGAATGATAAATAATAAATCCCAACCTACTATTCAACTTCCAAAAACCAAAATCTGATGATCAGTCTTATAAGTACTGGATAATGTTATTAAGAAATATTTGATGGTGATCCTCATGGGGCAAAAAAGGAAAGGAATAATTGTGAAAGGGAAAGAAATAAGATGGTCATGTGTGCAAGGAATCGATTCAATTAGCTAAAGGTTAAAGAATTTAGCTGAACATTAAAATCATTCAATTACACAAGATATATTCCTAACTTAGTTCATGCGGAAGTTATTGCCACATGTTTTATATATTTGTTCTGTGGATTAAAAAGAAAAATTACCTCCAACTAATTTTGTAAATGAGCCACGTTCCAAAATATATGAAAACCTCATTTGTAATTTCTAGAAACTTTATTTTTCATGACCATTTGGCTAATATTCTCTTTGATTTATTTGCAAAATATTTTATTAGTAAATTATCACTTTTGTTTAATAGGAACCCTTAATTCATCTTAATATACATAGTTTTTCTCCAAATTTCAACATTAGTAATTTGTTTTAGTAATTTAACTCTTTTATCCTAGTAAATCTTTTTCTATCATGATAACCAGTTTGAGAGATATTATATTATAAGAAAAGCTCATTTTATCATAAACTTTATAAAAATACTTTTGACTTTTAATTATCATGTTAGCCCCTTTCAATTGTAGTAGAGTTTGAAAATATGACTTAAAATCTTCTCTACCACAATAAACCTATATTTACTATGATAGTATTTTGAAAAGTAAGGGTTACTCTTTATTGCCATGATAGACTCTCTCCTACATATGTATTTAATGGACAAAGCAATTGTTGAACTTTATAATTTGTGAAAAATCAGTTTAAAATTTTAGAATGTTACACTGTCTCTCAGCCTCTCGATAAATACGGGTCACTTTTTACTAGAGAACGGAAGAAACATTGAAACAGGCATGGGGGAAAAAATTCTAGCAAGAGGGCATCGGCCAAAAAAATGAGGATAAACGCAACACCTCCTGACCTCCAGCATGTATTCCTTGCTCTGGAAGTCACTAAAACAATGACCGGTGGAATATGCCTTCAGGCAAGGATCTGTTGGCAAGTATTAAGCGTTGGATCTGTCAGCATTAAGTAAGAATCTCAGCCCCGTCTGAGGTGACTAGGATGGTGTGTTCAAACTGCGCCGAGAGACTTCCATCTTCAGTTACAACGGTCCAATTGTCATTCCACATAATGGGATTGATGCTGCCAACAGTCAGCATTGGTTCTGCACAAATTAACCGTATGTGACTATGTGCAGCCAAAACAAAAAATAATAACAACAACAATAATAATATTGCTGATACGACAAAGTCATGCATAATCTCGATTTCACTAACTCAACCCATTACCAATTGTGAATGTTTGGTTCAACATCATCCTTCCATCATCATTGTTTCCTGAAAACATCAATAAATTTATTATGCAGTAATAGTTGAAAATTCCAAGAAAACATAGCCTTTGATCCCCTTCAAAAGGTAATGAACTAAAGAACTGAAATGAAGCCGCATAATGACACGAGCATGAAGTTGAGAATAGTAACTGTAATGAAGAATAACTGGATCAGCATGAAAGACATGTCCAACTCCATGACCAACAAACTGTCGGACAACACCATAATGAAATTTATCTGCATGATCACTGTCAATAGATTAAAAAAAGGGGGGGGGATCAATTTTGAATCATTATATGATCAAGAATCATAATTGACAAAGTTGGCAAAAAAAATAATAATAATTCATGAAATTCTTGCGCCTAATAGGGTCTTCAACTACTTTATTAATCAGTAACACAAGCATAAGGCGATTCTTGTAAACCGCTTTCAATAAAGAAACAGCAGGAGGGAGAAGCAGTAATGAATATTATGAGAAATATTTTAAGAAAAACATTGTATTGGGTTTTTTTCTTTCCATTCTGAATTCAAATTTCTCCATCCTCCCAAACAAAGCTGAAGCATCAAGGTAGAAGAATTTTAGTACGCCTTAAAAGGATGCAGCAGTAGAAAAAACAAATGACTCTCCTATGAAGTTTGAGGCCTAAAACTGTTCACGGCTGGCTAAGATGTAGACAAGTTAATCGTGATGGACATAAAGCAATGCAATTTCTATGAATAAAAAAATAAAGGAAAATAAAATAAGCAAAGTGTGACAGCTTTTGTAACTGCAGAGTTCTGCATTATGAGGTAAATACAAACTTCTTACTGAATTGTTTTGCCAATTTTCATGAACTCCACCCCCGGTGCACATATAGATATTGCTTTGTCCAGACATTCTTTAGTTACCTATGTCAACATCAAACAATCATCAAGCCCATTATGATCTATGGAAAAGGTTAGCCATGCAAAATATGTTTCTGCTATCATGCTCTACTATAATATTAAATCACCAATAATAATTTGCGCAGGCTAATGCCATATATCCCTTATGACAAGAAATAGCAGTAATGTTGAAGTACCTACAAGTAAACTTTAAATTCTTTCCATGCATATAATCGAGCATGTTGCAAATTATCAGTTAAATTTGAAGTTAAAAAGCCACTCCGGTATGTAATACCTTCCCCATGTTAAAGGCTTGTTCAGTATGTCATATGGTCATAGACATGAATAGACCTCTAAAACTAATCAAATCCCAGCTTGTATAGGTCCCAACGTGTAGTAATCGTGCTTCAATTGGGTTCTAAATTGGGTGCTCATCCATGGCAATGGGCAACATACTTGTATAGGCCCCCACATCCAGACCAATCAGATTTTATTTGAACGATTTGGGTTTTAAATTTTAAATTAAAATTATCAATATCATTGAGTCAACTGATGGAAGATTATTGATTTTGTATTCCACTTATATTAAGATAAATTAAATATCAAAATTTGAAGGGGGGTAAAATCTTGGTTATCTAAATTTAATCTGTAGGGTACATATGAGCAATGAGCACTGATAAGCTTCAAATCTATGATCATACCAGTAGTTCAGTCAAATTCTATGGAATAATTTACCTTTGCAAACAAACCAGTCACTAAAATGGTTGTGAGATAAAAAAGAAGAAGAAGAAGAAGAAGAAGAAGCCACTGATATAAAACTTCACTGCTATGACAGTGAGGAACAAACGGATATCAGCACATATTAATGTTCCGTATTGGCACCTGAACTAGATTTCTTGCCTCATCATCAACATCTCCACAAAGGAAAGTTGCTGATGTATCACCATGATAACCCTACAGCTCAACCAACCAATATGAAGTCACCAAAATAAAGTCTTAAAAGTCATTAAAGATGCCAACAGAAAACAGATAAGGAAGTATCTACTTTCAAATTTCAATGAAATTACTATCAAAGAAAAAGATAAAAACCTTACATTTAGATAAACTGTAACATCAATATTGATTATATCACCATCCTGTACATTAAAGAATGTTCAGCAATTAATTTTCTCACACTAGATTAAATTCAAAGAACTTGTATACCTGTAAAGACGGACCTCAAGTGGTCGGGAATCTGGTATTCCATGGCAGATGCATTCATTTACAGATGTGCAGACACTTTTTGGAAAATTGCCGTAGCCAAGAGGAGATGGGTAGGCACCATTATCAATTATCATTTGATGAACTGCTTCATCAATTTCATCTGTCATTATGCCCGGCTGCCAACAGAAGTTAAAACTAAGTAAAAACAATCATGACAACAGATGCATCATGCAAGTTCTTTCACATTTCACATCAAATTATATATCCTATTATTATAAAAAAAGAACTATGGCTGCCATGCCTTGCACTAACCTACAAGCAAGGCAGATAATCCTAAGAATTTTAGCCATCTTCAGAATTTAGTTCATTGCTTATTTTATTGTATAACAAGAAGTCAAGCTGATAAGAAATATGGAAAATACTACTTTAGAAGAAGATGATTATAGCTGTGTTACTTTTCAATTACTTTTGTTTGTCAGTTTCCTTTTCAGCAATTAGGAATATTTTATAATTTTGTCTTCAGCAAGTGGATAGAGGTTTCCTCATGGAGAAGGAAATCTCATGCCTATAAAAAGGATGCAGAAATGTATTTGAGGGCAGATTGGATGAATGAACTTATTTGACGTACTCTGATTGCTCTCTCCCTCTAGTCTGTATGCTCTCCCTCTCAGTTCTTCATCCCTCTTTGTTCTGCTTCCTCCTCTCGTCCCTATCCCGGTATTTTGTCTCTCTCTCCCTCCCTATCTCGATCTCTCACCCTGTTTCTGCTGTATCTTCCTTTTTCAATTCTGTTCAAATCAGTATGAGCATGTGCGTGTGTGTGTGATGTACAGCATTTGTATAGGAGCTAAGAAGCACATACACTAGCCTTTTCCAACTACCATATCACGCGTCTGTGCATTTGTGGCATTCTTGCTACTATGTCCTGTCTTCTCTTTTATAAATTATTTTGGCAGAAGTGTTTCAAGTAATGCCAAAATGAGTTGGAAATGAGTTGAAGCTTCTCCAACCCATTTTGAAATGCAAAAAGACTGTTTTGAAACCATATTGAAAGTTTGATACATGTTATATTAAGTAACATCATTGAAATGCTTGAAACTTAACAGAGTGCAGGTAAAGTACATCTTACTATCTTGTGATTTTGCACAAAATAATTTATCCCCTTGTAGTTTAAAATTTATCATGCAACCCCCTTGTAGTTAGCTTAGTTAACACCTAAATCATCTAATGATAATTTTGCCTTAAATTTACTAAGACAGTCACGTGAAAACTAAAACAAGGGTTCTCATAGTTTGAAATATGATCAAATTAGATCATGAAAAAAATTTAAGCCTACTACTTGTATGAGGCTAGTGGTCCTCTTAATCCAAAAATGGTCTTAGAACACTTTGAAACTATTCTAATTATAGGAGAAACTAACATTTAACAATAAAACTCCGCCTATGTTTATAGCCGGTCCCAAGCCCGGGTAAAGGAGGAGGGTTGTGTTAGGCCATCAACAGCCAATGTAAAAATTTGTTGAATCTATCATGAACATGGACAATAGACGTTATAATGTTAATGCTAGGTCGTTGCCCGTAAGTAACGCGCTGCATGGCTCGAGTACAGTGATAAGTGAGTTAGAGCCGCTGCATCGGCGCCCGGATGTAGTGTTAAATGAGCAAGGGCTACCGCGTCATTCTGGACGCACGCGGCTAAAGAAGTTAGTCCATAAGAGCAAAATTAGATTTGGTACTTGGAATGTTGGGACATTAAATTGTAAATCTGTAGAGGTTGTAGGGGTTATGATTCAAAGGAAAATCAATATCCTTTGCTTGCAAGAAACAAAATGGCGTGGAGAAGAAGCTAAGGATATTCAAGGTTTCAAACTTTGGTATACAGGAAAAGTAAGTGCACGCAATGGAGTAGGCATCATTATAGATAAGGAGTGGAAGAAGAACGTTGTAGAAGTTAGCAGAATTGGAGACAGAATTATTTCTTTAAAAATGATAATTGGACGTGAGACTGTTAATATTGTTAGCGCTTATGCGCCGCAAGTCGGGACAGAAGCCAGTCTTAAGGAATTATTTTGGGAGGATCTGGAGGGGTTGATTCGACACATACCACAGAGTGAAAAGATTTTTATTGGAGGAGACTTTAATGGGCATGTCGGGAGGGAAGCTGGCAGTATGCGAGGGTGCATGGTGGTTTTGGTTTTGGAGAGCTAAACAATGAAGGGCAAACTCTTCTTGATTTCTCATTGGCGTATGATTTTAAGATTGCCAATACTTGTTTCAAGAAGAGAGATGAGCATCTCATCACCTACAAAAGTGGAGCCTCAAGGTCGCAGATTGATTTTCTTTTGGTTAGGAACACAGATAGAAAACTTTGTAAAAATTGTAAGGTGATCCCTGGAGATGCTGTAACGACACAACATAGGGTCCTAGTCCTTGATGTGTGTATTATGAGTAAAATCCAAAAACGTCGACAAGTAGTAACACCAAGGATTAGGTGGTGGCAATTAAAAGGTGAGAAGCAAGATATTTTCAAGCGAAATCTTTTGGATAAAGGAATTTGGGATTCTCAGGGAAGTGCTAACATCATATGGGAGGATATGGCTAAAAAGATACGGGAGGTTGCAAAAGTAGTTTTGGGAGAATCGAAAGGTCCTGGTCCGAGAGATAAGGAGTCTTGGTGGTGGAATAATAGTGTACAGGACAAAATCAAGTATAAGAAGAACTGTTTTAAAGCCATACATTTGTGTAACAATGAGGAAAATTGGGAGAGGTACCGTATGGCTAAGAAGGAAACTAAGAGAGCTGTGGGTGAAGCTCGTTCTAAAGCTTTTGAAGAATTTTATAAGAACCTTGAGACGAAGGAAGGAGAGCAAAATATTTATAAGATTGCCAAGAGTAGGGAAAGAAAATCAAGAGATCTAGAACAGGTAAGGTGTATTAAGGATGAAGAGGGAAGAATTTTAGTTACAGATGATGAAATTAAAAATAGATGGGAGACTTATTTTTCTAAACTTTTCAATGATGGAGAGGATTCATCTAGTAACTTGGAGGATTTAGTAACTGGTGAAGGAGAACAAAATTTGTCATTCTATCGAAACATACGTGATAAGGAGGTAAAGGAAGCTCTTAAGAAAATGGCAAATGGTAGAGCTAACGGACCTGATTGTATATCTATCGAAGCGTGGAAATGTTTAGGTGAAGAAGGGGTGAGATGGTTAACTAAGTTATTTAATGTGATTTTACGGTCCAAGAAAATGCCTGATGAGTGGAGGAGAAGTACATTAATTCCTATTTATAAAAATAAAGGAGATATTCAGAATTGTACTAACTATAGAGGGATTAAACTCATGAGCCACACAATGAAATTGTGGGAGAAAGTAATTGAGCACAGGTTGAGATTGGAGACAAGTATTTCTGAGAATCAATTTGGTTTTATGCCAGGTAGATCAACTACAGAGGCGATTTATCTACTAAGGGGATTAATGGAAAAGTATCGTTGTAAAGATAAAGATCTACACATGGTTTTTATTGATTTGGAAAAAGCTTATGACCGTATACCAAGAGAAGTGCTTTGGAAAGCGTTGGAAAAAAAGGGAGTACGGATTGCTTATATTAAAGCCATACAAGATATGTATGAGGGGGTAAAAACTAGTATAAGAACGCCTAGTGGTCAAACAAAGGATTTTCCTATAAAGATTGGGCTACATCAGGGATCATCTCTGAGTCCTTATTTGTTCAACTTGATTTTAAATGTTTTGACGGAACATATTCAAGAGGAAATCCCGAAATGTATGCTCTTCGCGGATGATATAGTTCTTATAGCAGAGACAAGAGAAGAGGTTAATTGCAAACTTGAGTTATGGAGGAGGACATTGGAGTCGAAAGGTTTTCGTCTGAGTAGAAGTAAGACGGAATATTTATATTGTAAATTTGATAAAGGACTATTCGAAAATAATTTGGAAGTAAAATTGGGAGATCAAATTATACCTCAAGTGGAAAAGTTTAGATATTTGGGAGCCATTATCCAAAATGATGGCGAAATCAGTGGAGATATTTCACATAGAATTCAAGCTGGGTGGTTTAATTGGAGAAAAGCTAAAGGAGTTATTTGTGACCGTAAGGTGCCTAATAAACTTAAAGGAAAGTTTTATCGTACTGCTATCAGACCGGCAATGTTATATAGTAGTGAATGCTGGGCTCTAACGGGACAGCAAGAGCATAAAGTTGGAGTAGCAGAGATGAGAATGTTACGATGGATGTGCGGACATACACGTAAAGATAAAATTCGAAATGAGCACATACGTGAAAAAGTGAGGGTGGCACCTATTGAGGAAAAAATGGTAGAAAATCGGTTGAGATGGTTTGGGCATGTACAAAGAAGACCAAGGGAGGCACCAGTGAGAAGAGTGGAACATATAACTTTGAGTCCGATTAAGAGAGGTAGAGGAAGGCCTAAGAGAACACTCTTGGAAGTTGTTGAACGTGATCTCTTAATTAATAATATTTCTAAAAGCTTAATAAATGATAGAGCACAATGGCGTCTTGCAATCCATGTAGCCGACCTCACCTAGTGGGATAAAGGCTTGTTGTTGTTGTTGTAACATTTAACAATAAAATTGTTCATATTTGTAACATTCATGTGACTATTTTTGTGTAAAATTTTGATGTAAAATACAAAATGTGGTTAATTGGTAACTAAACAAACCAAAAGAACTGTTAATTAACACACTTGTAAACCACAAGAAGAAAACTAATTTTGGGTCAAACCATAGGAGGATAGACGATAATTTACCAAAACAAAAATATGGCATATTTCCATATCACATTGCTTCAAGTAAGATACCCTTGCGCATATCTGCGCATCATAGCATTGGAGATATGCAACATGCATATAAATGGTTGACTAGCAAAAAAGATGAAAATTCACCTTGACTAAGGTGCCAGCAAATTGAAGAACCTGCGCTGCAAGCCTTCCAGAAGCTCTCATGTGTTCTATCCCCTGCTCATCATGAACTTCAGGTCCACTCGCTATCCCAGGCAGCATCTTAGATTTAACATATGGAGGCCTTGGTATGTGCTTAGGCACTGGTCGAGGTGGAGAAACTTTTCCTGGCTTCAAACGCTTACGCTTACTATTTGACAAATCATCTAGCCTTCTGCAGATATCATCATAAGTCATCACCCGAACATAAATTAGAAAGGCGTGCATGCATGGTGGTTTTGATTGCAGTCTATCACAGAAAGATACAAATATTGAAATAGTCAGTATTCTGAAATTCAGAGATAACCAAGATCATCCCAGAACTTTGATCCCTTCAGCACTACGTGAGTTCACTTTGTATTTCAAGCGACAAACTTTTCGTTGACCATCAGATTTGTGAATTGGCAACAGCAATAATTATACAGCGTCAACCTACTTCCATAATCTGAGTAAGCCAATATGACTTCCACTACTTATTTCCAGGAAAGAACTTAGTGACAATCATTCTTCCACATATAGTATCCACTTAATATTTGTGCAATAGCAATATCATTAGAATGTGAGATTAACGCCACAGAATGAATAACTGACAACAAAGTAACATGTCTGTTACAGGATAGACGATGGACAATCTAAATTATTTATATGGAAGGAATGCTACTAACATCATGCAATCTTGTACATAAAGGTTTTACAAATGCAGAATATGGCGTAAGCACCTGCTATTGAACAAGAGATTGGTCAAGCCGGAAAGAGTTCTGGATAACTGCATTGAAACACGGGTGCATCCTGCCAGAAAATGAAAATAAGTAAAGTGAGGCAATTAGAAAAGAAACAAAGAAAATATAATCACCACTAATGAATATGTAAAATGAAATGTATTGGAAGTTGCACTCTTCATAAGGCATAAATAGTACAACTTATCTCAAACTCCGTGTAAAGCATAAGGTCATCAAGTCTAGTTGATATAAAATTGACTGCAAATACATGTATATATTGACTTTGGAGACAAATGCATGTTTGATTGTAGTTCCATTAAGCTAATGAGACAACGATAACGAAATAGCCGCGATATGTTTTTGGCTTGAACAAGTAATCTAAAATTGTACACAGAGGAGGAAGCAGAAGAAGATGAAAGAACCTGGCTTATAACGGAACAGTTGAGGGAGGGGCTGCGTTGAGCGTGAGAGGAGATCTCCAACAAAAGAAGACATCAATCTGGGTTGCACAGAGATGGCGCGGGCGCTTCCCATTTTTGCTTTTATTATCTTCCAATCTTTCCCCCCCTGACCTCCTTTGTTATCCGTTAATGCTCATTTCGCCGTTCCCACGGCGTGAGCGATGGAGGTTTTCTTTTATTTTTTTTATTATTATTATTATTATTATTTTGCTTGACTGAGGCCCGCCGCTATCCCTTCATGGATCTGAGACCGTGGTGGCCCGAAGGCTTGGCTTCTCTCAACTCTTTTCCGCCATTGACCCAATAGAAAAAAAAAAAAAAAACCGATCATTGTGACGATGATCCAGTTTTTATCATGTTTTAAAATTATCTAAATTATATACTGCGAATATTATAATTTTGTGTGGATGTCCACAGCATTCAAGAATACCACTTTTTTAAATATGTAATACATTATATTTTTAAAAAATAATAATAAATCTCTTTAAAATATATAAATGATAATTTAATTTTTTAAAATATTATAATTTTTATGAAGTCTCAAGAGACATTTCTGTCAATAATAAATTTATATAAATTATTAAATTATTCTTATTGAAAATAAATAATTTATAAGCTTTCTTTAAATATTCAAAATTTTTTTCTTATCTTCATAACAATGCAATAACAAATAAAAAATTTAATATGTAAAATTATTATTTATTGTTACATTATTGCAAATATAAAAAGAAAAGTTATGAATATTCAAATAAAAATTATGAATTATATATTTTCTACAAAGGCAATTTAATAATTTATATGAATTCATTAATGACAGAAAAATCTCTTAGGATTTTAGGAGAATTATGGTATTTGAGAGATCAAATTATCATTTGTATATTTTAGAATAATTTTATCATTATTTTTTCTTATATTTTTTAGTAAGGAATAAAATTATCCTTTTATATAAAAAAAAAAGAATGAAGCTTTTAATACTCCATCTCTTATTGAATGGTATCATATTCCACAGTCCTCAAATTGAAGGATCTCTGGTATTTATTTTCTATAACCTTCAGTTATAGAATTTTATTGCTTAATTTTTTTTATTCACTAATAATTCTTGAAGTCTGCTGCCAATATAGAGGTCATATAAAAAGAGATAATATTCACACTCTCGAGATAATGAAGTGAATAAAAAGTCCTCTTATCTTTTCTCTCATTTCTCTCTTGTCAATAACATGATTATTTTCAGTTAAATGATCATCAAAGTTGCACGCCCATGATATCAATTATTAAATTAAATTTATTTTTAAATGTTTTTTTGGAATAAAATATACTCCCTTGGGTCAATCCTTTTTATTAAACATATTTTAAAATATTCTCTTGGTCATTTACATAAGTCAGTTTTCTTGTTCTTTTTTTGTTTATTTGATGCACAATTTCAAAAATTTTAAAAGGAAGAATGATAGATAAATCCTTCTGAAATAAAAAAAAATAATAATTTAGTCTCGCAAAATGTGATTTAATAATATTGAGGTCCCAAGATAATTCTTTAAAATTAAATTTCAATGTGAAATGTATATGGTTCACAATCAAATTTATATAGTTTACAAGTTTGATATAAATATTCACAAGTTTGATTATATTAATGAATAAGAAGATTTAAGAAATTATAACTTCTATCAATAATTTTTTTTCAATCAGTAAAATCCAAATAATTTTATATGATTCATAAGTTTGATTCCACCATTATTAAAATAATTTAGAAAAAGTATGACTTTATATTAACAAAGTCCAACTAATTTTACATTACTAACAAGTTTAATTCCACATATAATTAAAACAATTTTAAAGATCAAAACTTTCTACATCATAAAGGGATACTAAAATAATTTCATACATAAATTTAATCTAAAAAAAGTTCTTTGAGACTTCATAATCACTATTACACTTTGCAAGACCAAATTATCATTTAGAGGGATTTATATGTCATTCTTCCATTTTAAAAAGAAGTGCACTATTTCAATTTCTAAAAAAAAATTTCTCATATATCAAACCACTGTTTTTTAAAATCTAAGAACACAATTGAAAAATGATTTAGCTTTAAAAAATTTTTATTATTCTAATTGTGAGTTAGAAACGAGTTAAGAAAAGCACGAATATTTCTTAGACATTCATCTTGGGTTAAAAATTATAAATTTAATTTATCTGGAGCTAAAAAAACAAAATGTTAACAGGGGCGAAGGAGAATTATTAGCCATCCACTCTACCGCGATTAATCTTTTAAGCAGTCCGCCTGATTGTTAGAAACTGGAGAATATTTTTCCGGTCGATATAAGCGGACGGCAAAGGGCTATTTTTAGCAAGGAGACTCCCCTGCTAATTTTGCAAAAATCGTCACGGTTCCTCTGAACCAGAACCACATTTCTGATTTCTCATCTCATTTCACCGTTTCCTAATTGATTCTGACACGTCCTGTAGAATGTGCATCGCATTCTGTACTGTTGAATAATAACGGTTCAGAGATAACGTACAATTGAGGGAATGTCTTACAGTCATGCAAGCAGCAGAGCTGTAATGCGGTGTCATGTCACTATGCAAACAGTAAAGAGATTAAATTTGCAGTCGTGGTGGTGAGCCCCCAAGGAAGAATTTCAGAACCAGGAAGGGAATGATGATGTGAACGGGAGAGCTAGTTGATTGATAAAGAAGTGATGAGAGGATGTCGTACGCAAGAGGGGAGCATTGGAGACACTAAACACCAAAGCTCAGCCTTTGGAAGCGCCAAGACCAAATTCCCAGAAAATTAACGAAATGAAACGGTACCATTCTAGGCATCGCATCTCCCATTCTTTGATTCTACCCTACTACAGATCGCCGGAAACTGAATGCACTAAGCGACAATTTGGAGGCTCTAATCAGAGCTCATGATTTTGGGTTTCGGTTGAGATTTTATTAGCCCCGCCCCCATAAAATGCGGGCCATCACCTCCGGCTTGGAATCCGACGCAGCCTCACGCTTCCCCTTTCCTAATCATCACCCGCCCGTTTTGTCTACATTCAACCATTCCCTTCTCTCTATTTATTAAAAAAAATGAAAAATGAAAAAAGAAGGAGGGTTCATTTGATTCTCTTTAAAATGGAGTCAACCAGAATGCAGCTTTGCCTTCTGCACAACTGGAAGGTCCACACCACGTGGAGGAAGGTGAGAGCCTCGCTCCAAATGGGGGCAGCGCTTACGGTTTTCGTCGGGTTGACGGTGACACTCCATCTGAGAGCACGTTAACGTGTCCCTGTGAACCCTTTTCTGATCATGCCACTGTCTCCGCAGAACATCTCCATTATGTATCAATTGCTCTATGTCACATCCTCTTTTACCTATCCTCTTCTACACATGCACGCGCCTCACTCACAACGGGGTGCGTGTATGTCATTGCCATTAACAGATGATCACACTCGCGGCCCAAACTCATTAATCCATGGTCCGAATGAGTTACTAGCAGGATTCAGCGACTCCAGAGCTTAGGAGTACAAGTTCTGTCTTTAGAAGTTTCGTCAGCGTCTAGGTTCCTTAGTCTCAAAATCAAGGGCCAGGGGCCTCTAATATATCCTTCTTTAATATTTCTTATAATGTTCTAATTTCTCAATTTATTTTTTATTTTTCTTTAGATCATTGGCTTCTACATACAATAAGAGACATTTGAATATTTTGATGTTCCAAAATGATAAAAATTTGTATTTTTTTAATTTTTTAAAGAAAAATATCACAAATACACCCTTTTATTTTTGAAAAATCATAAAAAATATAAATATTCACCATTTTGGGACATCAAGATATACAAATGTCTCTTATTTTATGTAGAAGCCAATGATTTAAAGAAAAAAAAATGAAATTGAAAAGTTGGGACATTACAAGAGACATTAGAGAAGGACACATTAGAGACCCTTAACCCCAAAATCAGGAGCCAGGTTGGGCCATCACATTCGTCATTATGAATTGAGTTCACAAAAGTCCAATGCATCCTATCTGGCTGCTCCACCTCCTACAATTTTTGGCCCTCCCGCGGAGTGGAGCTATGGATTTGTGTGCTTTCTGGTCAGGTTTTCCACTTTTCTTTGTTTCTTCTTTCCCTGTCTCTGCATTGTGGCCAGTTTGGACACTGACTGAAAAGCCGGTAGGTAATGTGTTATTGCTTCCAAACAATCAAGGGATATCCCCCACTACCGCACCTCTTATCTGTAAATGGACCACAGATTTTTCTTTTTTCTTTTTTTTTAAAAAAAGAGTAACTTGAGGCTTCTTGGTCTTATCTCCCGTGGGGTTAATTACTTACCTCCTTCACCTTCTTCTATTCTTCCATTTTTTGTCTCGGTTAATATCATTTATGAAGCTATAACGCACTGCCTCGGCCTTTTCTCTCCTCTTTCCTTCATTATCATTAGGACCACCCATTAAGATGCCCATTTTGGAAATGACGCTGCATGTGCCATTATGACGCTTGGCTATTTTCTAGGAGTTATCTCCTGCAACAAGCTCGAGTAGACGGTGAAAGTTATAGGCTTAGCTTATAGCTTTCATCTTGAATCCTTCTCATCAGCTGGTTGCCTGCCACTGTCATAGCTTGCCTTTGCTTAGATTTATATAGTCAAACCGCTTTTCAAGAGCCCCATCATTTAGTTGCAGGTCTATTAAATTATTTACCTTAATTTCATCTCGAACTGGGTACTGAACTCCAATCTTGTATTTTGGTTCTGCCCTTGCACGGAGCATTAGTACATATTTAGTCATTTACAGATCCCTCCAATGAAAAATCGTCCACTTCCCGCATGTTGATGAAGACGTGGAGAACGCGGACACAATATTGCAGTACTGTATATATATAGGATAACACCCACACTCGAAGCTTGGTCACCCCCATCTTTTGTCATTTTTCCTTTTTCTATCTTAACAGATAATTTTAATTTGCATGATACCAAACGGACAACAAGGCAGCATATAGATTTTTACCGGACATAAATCATTGAGAACATATCATGTTTTAATTTGAAAGAGAAAATCATGAAAAGCGAGCTACTATTGAAAATGAGATGAGAATAGTTAATGGTCGTGTTGATAAAAGGCAAGAGAAGGACAAGGCTACGGGAAAAGGTTCCTTCAATTGAACAAAAGTAAAGATGACCCAATCATGCATTCCCTGTTTTCTTTGTACCTTTATCTTTCTTTTCTTTCATGCTACTTTTCACATCTTCTCCGGGCCCCGTCTCTCGCCCCTCTTTACATAAGGATATACCTTACAAAATTCAAAAGGAACAAAGTTCACATAATAATAGAATATGTATCCATAAAACAAATGGTCTCGACACCAAATATTATAATTATTTTGATTTGAAGGGAATGTCAGGGACAGCTTCGATATCTTGGATTAGCAATCACTCGGGCGCTAAATTTTGGACGTCGGCGAGTCGCTAGAATATCCCAATCAGCTAGCTACACATTGGCGTGGAAAGCATTACAGAGATATATATATGACTACGAAACTGTCATGATTATTGTTGAATATAAATCAGACATCAGTGTCGGTTTCAATATCCCCATGTTTAAACATTTAAACAAGAGCCTGAAATTGGATTCAGACATATGCCAAAGAAAGGCTTTAGATACCCGAATTTCAATACTTAATATTTTCTCCCATAGTTGATGTTCGGTATATTTAGGATAATATTTCCCTTTTTTCCATTCCAATTCTCGCAAGAAGATAATTAAAATTCAAGAGAATAAGATATATATTTCATATAGAATTTGACATTTATGAGTGTGTTTGGTGATTATTGGGTGAATGAAAGATGCGCGCGGCATCACCTGAATGATTTTTTTTTTTTTGGAGAAATAGGATTAAGTAAAGTTATTAATGTATAGGAATCTGAGAAAAGTATCGATCATTTCCGTGCATGCAATCAAAAATTGCCTATGAGTGCATGACTTTAAAAAGAAGCAAAATGAGTAAGCCGCAAAAGCCAAAAGTCATCACCTTTCAAAGTGGCGAGGGGCCTGTGTGGCAGGAAAAAAAAAGACAGTCCCAGATGATGAGTGAGTCCTGTTATCTCCATTACCAATGGAAAAGTTGAAGACCAGTGCTTTTGGGAGGAAAAAACTTGAAGAGATCAGAGGACCACTTCAGCACTCTCAGATGCTAGGAAACATGTATTGGCAATGAAAGAAGTCTCCCTTCTCAGAAATATATTCACAGCCTAGAGCTCTGATCTCCTCTCGCTTCTGAAATTTATGAATGACCCTTTTCACTTGCACACACTGCTCTAACCCTTCTTGAGATATTCTTCTTCGTTTTGCTTTTTCCTTCACTTTTCTTCTTCTTCTTTCCATCTTCCCCTCGATCTCTTTTAGCTTCTCTCTCTCCTCCTTCTATGTGTCAACTCTATAGCATCACCAAAAAAATCAAAGGCGTATATCATGCATGATTTAAAGCTCCTTGGCCTTTCAAGATCGCGATTGACCATGATAAATCAACTATGCCCCCCCCCCCTTTTCCTTCAATGCTGGGTTTTTCTTCCAGTCAGTTTCTTTTCCGTGACATTGGATCCACCACCACCAGCCCTTTGTTTGCAGGTTTGGCCCTACAATCATGAGTCGTCATTATCATCAGTCACTTAATCGGTGGTTAATTGTTGGTTGGTATTGTTCGACAGATTGATCTTGTTAACCACCATTGACCGCGCCACACATAGAACTGTATATCGTCTGGTATTACTCTTGACCAGATTATAAATAAAATAAATAAATAATAATTTGAAAATACACTTAATAAATAAACGTACTGGTTTGCACTCGCTCCTTCTTGCTAACAAATTTACGATGTCATCTATACTAGTGAAGTATATCCAATTTTTGAACTTGATAACTGGCTAACTTCAGCATTATTGTGACCATTACATTTTACTTAATTTATTTATTTCATTCAACAAATACTGTAAAAAAAAAATTAAATGCGTTTTTTATTCTTGTAAGAATCTCATGGTATAGATCTTAATTATGACCTGTTTTGTTTCCGAAGAGGTGGATGAAAAAATTAGTGGAGGCGTAAACTAAAAAGCAATGGAGGCGAGATCAGAAACTGCGGCGGGTAATATAGGATAGTTGCCGTATTTAGGAATCCGTAACGGAAGAGAAGAACAAGTAAAGGGGGTGAAGTTTGAGAGGAACAAACAAGAAAGTTTAGGAAGCAGAAAGGTAACGAGTGGCGATTGTGGTGCAGGGTCTGAAAATTCCAAGGGTTGGGGCCATGGCTGCCTTTAATCAATCATTCAGCTTTTGTAATTATAGGCGAAAAATTTGAAGTAAAGGAATAGCAAAAGCACTTTCAGATTAAAGGTTTTCAGTGGTAGCCACGATGGAGAAGAAGAACCCAACCCTAAGAAACGACCCAATATAGAGCTCCCTTCTAGCTTTCTGTGCCCACTCTCTTTAACTGAGGTTAGATACCATGTGCATGTGCCTTTTTCCATTCACTTTTATTAATCCTCGCGGGAATCTTCCACTTTATTCACCCCCGCTCCTTGTTTTCAAGGCTTGCATTATCATGCTAGGTCGCCTTTTAGTTGAACCCAAACGTACCAACATTCGCTCAACTTGCCACTGCTAGTACACATGATTAAGTTTTTCACTTGTCTCTTGCTTCCCACCAAATCAAAGTTTAATTTCATCTTCCCTTTGGCTCCATTTGCAGCCCTTTTACGTAATTCATATGTGTTTATCATGAAAATTTCTTCTTCCTGTATCTGTACTACATGTATCATATAAAATTTCTTTTTTGTAGCACCTTTCTCTGTGAAGCATGTAATTTTTTTTTTTGTATTTGCCACTTTCAAGACCCTGTGTCCCACTAATCGAATATTTGAGGAGATACAAGTCCGCGTTCATTTTCCAGTAACTTTGTCTGTGACCTTTGAAGATATTTTCAAATCCATGAAATTGATGGAACCGATATTTTATTTATTTTTCCTGCACAACTGAAAATTCGTGTTCAATAATTAGATTGAGCGGAATGAATTTTATACCTTTTAAATAAAGTTAAATGATTCAAACCTTGTAACACATGTTTGATTTTAATATGCACAAGTGATATCAAATATCAAATGGCTGTGTAGAAAAAAATATGTTCATAGATACAGTTTCTTATATAAGCGTTTGCCAGCAGATTGAGCAAGTACTATATATACCCCGTTTCAAATTATTGTCCAGTAATTTTTTTACAGGTCAAATATAATTCTTTTTATTTGTGGAAATTTGTCGTTTTACACTTTTGTTTCGCATCCCGCATCCATATCGATCATGGTACTTGGGATCTGTCCACACTCTACACATGAGAATGCATGAAAACGCACACCCCATACAACTGACATGCAATAAATAAACGTGTACAAGCCTAAGCCTTCCAAACTAGTATTTAGCACCTTTAAAGTGGATTGTCTTTTTCTTGTTCTCTATTTTCTTATAGTGGAAGGAAAATTAAAGGATGGCTTTGATTATTTTGTGAGAAATGCTACATCAAATTATATTGTTAACGTTCCTCGCTCCACGCGAAGTAATTATTGATTATTGTCTGTGTCTTCAATGTTCGCACCCCATCCCCAACATCTAACAGAATGCTGTAAGAATAGCTTCAGTATAAAGGTTGGAGTTTGAATTTGAATTGAAATTGAAATTAATAATATATAGCGAATATACAGCTCAAGGGATGCACGGAGAGGAAAGTTAAAAAAAGAAAAAAAAGGAAAGGGGAAGAGGAGGATGAGTGAGTTGCATGAGAAAGTACGTCCGTAGAGGGAGGAGCGAGGTGGCAACAACCAAGACCATAATGAAAGTGGTCCATAATTGTCTGCCGATGGATCTACCCGATCCACGTGTAAATCCTACATCTACATGTGCCTCATGCGTATATTCACCGTATGGGGCTTCCCCATATCCCACATTTAATTTCCCCTCTTACCTAACTGTTAAGCCGTTATGGCCCTTGATTAAATGACCATGTGTGCCCTGTTCACTCCCTTTTTCCCACATCACTGCTAACTCCATATGTGAATCATAAAACTATCATTTTTGTTTGAATATTTTGAAAACGAAGACATGCCTTTTGAAAAAGTCACATCCTTTTAAAAAGTTATATTCTTACAACTTAAGAATATCTTTATGAAATGTTATGTAAAGAGTTATAGTTACTAACTTCATATCTCTTGAAATTCTACAAGCACATTTGAAGGGTTATAAAATTAAAAGATGTCACTTAGTAAAATGAAATGTATTTTAAAAAAACTCTACATGTTTTTTTTTTCATGGAAAGCTATTAAACTATGTAAGTTTATGAATCAATATAAGGATATTCATAAATTAATATAAGGTTGTTCGTGAATTAATATGGAGGTTATGAGCCAATATTGCCTATAACTTTTAAAGATGCTTTATCACTTCAAGACATCAAGTATTCATAAATACTCTTCATTATCATTCATTTGAAACATTTGAAAAAAAAAATTATGAGTGAAATTCAATAACGTTATTCTTTGAGTGTACTAGAAATAAAATTAAATTATCACTTTATAACAATTATGCTACTAATAAGACTGTTGGAGTACATACATAGAAATGTTCACCCATATAAATAGGTGCTTAATCATTGAACCATAGATACTGGTAGACACTAAAATACAAACAACTGCATCTGTTTTAGGAGTGGTACAGAAACAAATAGAGAATCATCATTAACTTAAAAGAGTGGTCAAACTTTCTGAAGGTGAAGCCTGAAGGCGAAACAAATTAAATTGAGAAAGGGCGATAAATTGAGGGCAGCGGAGAGTTAAAATAAAATACGGGCCGGGGCGATAAACGTCAAATAGTCGTGTGCTGATTCGGCGGTGCGATGCACGAATTGGAAGAGAGGCGCCGGTAGCATGGAAGGTGGCAAATTGGGGCTTCCGTGGTCACACGAAGGATATATCAGTAATTCCGTTCTGTACACAATTATTTTGCTTAAGACCGGCTCTTTAGTCTTTACCGAACGGGACTCCAACCCAAATAAATGATTCCCTCTCTCCCACATCCCTCGCCCGCATTGACTAAGCTAGGCTGAGCTTGAAGCTCGTTTCTTGTTTCATTTCTCTCCCATTAATTCCAACGTCAGCGTCCTTACATGGCCCTCTTCTATTCGCTTCTTCTTAATAACGGCGCCGTCAAATTCCCCGTTTCGACCCTCCCCCGTCTCTGTTAGCAGAGTCTGGACCACCACCGCCACTAACAAAAACCTACTGCACAATCCAAACCCTCCCTTCATGATCACAATTTCCTAGTCTCGCCACACGACCCCGCACGCATATTCATCTTGATCTCCCCTCGTCTCATCCCCTATTTTACACCAGCCAGATCACGAAAGCGTAACCATTCAAAGACATGACGAGGAAGTGCCCAAAAGTTGCCCACCTTAACGCTGTAATGGAGATGGCTCGAGTGGGTATGATCACTGGCTCTCGGGCTGCGTTAGCTGTTGGAGCTGCAGCTTCGTCTGCAATGACGCGCAAGAGGAGGAAGCTTAGCAGCGACGAACAGCTCAAATTTTCTGCAGGATCGTCCTTTCTTCAGCCCAACAGTAGGGGACCGGTCGTTACTCCATCAGAAACAACGCTATTGCCGCCGGCGGAGTCAGAGGCACGATGCAGCAGCCTCCACACCAATGAATTCCAGGACTCTTGTTGTTCCAGCAACGGATCCACTGAGCAAGACGAAGGGAGCATCAGTTTCTTAGATCTGGAGGTAGAGAGCTTCCGTTACCTCGTGAACCATTTGACAGTTATTCTTTTTTTTTTTTTTCGCTCTCAATGTTTTTTTATTGGACATCCATTTGTTGCGCTCTATAATTGCTTGTCTTTTTCAGTCTTTCTTCTTTCACCAAAATTGAATGCATCGTGTTGAACGTGTTTGCAGGTAGAGAGCGCTCAAGTTGAAACGTCGACGTGTAATTGCAGCGGCGGCGACGAAAGGTTTTAAAACGTCGATATATATTTAAATTTTAACTGCTTCCGTTTGTTCAAATTTTCAACAGTTATTTATTTGAATTGAAAAGGCATGAAATAAACGGGATCTAATAATTCTTTCCGTTTAAAATCTGGTCATTCTTCCACCAAAAGTTTATTCAAAACTCAATTTCAAATCCTACAAATTCTACCAACAGCTGTTATTCCTATGCACTCTGTATAATTGTCTCCGTCGCTTGTGTTAAGCAGGAGAGACATGAGCCTTACGAGCGAGCTCCGAACCCAATCGGAAGGCATGGAGTCGGCGGCGAAACCGAAGGAGAAGCTCATAACGGAGGTGAATTCCCATCGTAAATCCACGGGGAAAAAAAGACCAACAGAATTGGAGCTGGAAGAATTCTTCGGTGCCGCCGAGAAAGATATTCAAAAACAGTTTGCGGAGAAGTAAGTTGATTAAACCAAAATTGGTCGCTCATTCGCGTTTCAATGGCATTTCATTTCATATAATGAACGGCTTAATTTTCTTTCATCTGGATGAATAGTCCCCAGCAACAGTAACATAAATCTGTATCCCCCAATATTCGGAGCAGGTATAATTATGATGTCGTGAACGACGTGCCCCTGGAAGGACGCTACGAGTGGGTTAAGTTAAAGCCATAAACAATCTCTTCTCCCCAGCCATCAACAAAGAAGATAACGATCCAATCATGCCACTATCTGACATTATTCTTACGTTTAGTTTAGGTATTTCAATTCCTCTTTTGTTTGATGTACAGATTGCTTTATCGTCAGGGACTAGTAGAATTCTCCTACTTTTGCTCTTTGTACGGGTTATACGGAGAAGCAAGGTTGCTTAGAATTGTAAATTCCCATGGTGAAGAACAGAGGGTTTGAATAACAGAATTCTAGCGTTCATTTTTCCTTAACCTCCCAAATATTCGATTCTGTTTCTCTGCGATATGTTTTGCAGGTCGTTCCTCTACAACCTGCAAGGCACAAGTGAAGTCAGTGACAGTATCTCCTTTTTCTTTTTCTTTTATTTTTTTAACTATATTTGTTATCTCGTGACGTTAATATCCTCCATCAATTTGTCTTTTCTTTTCCTTCCGTTCTATTTAATTCAGTGCTGAATTGTCTTTTCCTCACATAGCTGTCAAATTTTTATTTTTTTATTTTTTGCCTCTTCTCATTTTTTTCATTTCATAATTGAGACATCTATCGATTGATGGTGTGGGATTTTATTTGAAAATAAGGAATGGACTCGATGGAGAAGACCGAGTGAGCATGGTGAAAAACTGATGAAAACGGGGAAACAAATGAGCTCACATGAATAGTGAAGATATGGGTTGATGACTGTTTGTTTAATTGTAGGGGGTGAGAGGAGCAGGAATGCACCATGGCGTGTAATTAAGTTACGGACACGTGTTTGAGGGCTTTGAAAGAAATTAAAGCGGGTGTTATATCCCCCAATGTGACGAAGTGTTTGCAGCGTTGTGACCAAATCAACTCTCTCACGCACAGGTAAAACAAAATGGGTACCAGAGTAGAAGATTTGCTGTTATTCCCACCATTCTTTCTCGCTTGTTTCACCGATCTTCCTCGTTCCCTGAAAATTCATCTCTCATCCGGCAAATATTGAAAATAATAACATGGCCAAAAAAATCTTAAAATGTATTCTATTCCTTTGAAATCTATATCTTATCCGCATTAATAAACCATCCCAGGGTTAATCAGCAATCCGATGCGATGTAGAGAAAATATCAACGTGGAAGAGGATGTGGTGATCAGGAAGGAGTAAAGAAGAGTTGAGCGTGGTCCTGCAAAAATGGGCAGGCTACACAGTACAACGCTTGCATGATTGGGCCGTCACTTTGGTTGATTATTTTTATTTTAAAAAAACTTAATGAGAGAATTGCATCTGGCGTGGGATAACGTGTTTGTCAGCACCGGCTAGGTGGCATAATATTTAGAAAGTGGGCTTTTTTTTTTTTTTAACCAGATTTAGGAAGTTGGTTTAGTGAAGCACATGGTGGGAGATTCGCCTGCGTCTCCGTTTCATGATGTGGTAAGGAAGGGGACGGTCGCCTTATAGCAAGCACTGTAATCATATTTAATCAATAATTTCCATCAATCTCCCATTTGCACAGTGATTTTGAGAAAGATGTAAATAAGACAAGAAATAAATACACACTGCTGTATGCTCCCAATACAGAATATTGATAATTAATTCATGATTGTAAAAAAAAAATTAGTTAAAATATTAATTTCTTAAAAAAATTTATAACTTTTCACTTATACTCTCATTAAATATCCTGTATAAGTACTTTGATGATGATAATTAAAAATTTAATGTATCATTTTTTAAAAAATAATAATAAATAAAGTAAGGGTATAGTTGTAAAAAATTATAAAATTTATTTAATTTTTTAAAAGATGTCTCATATTATGATTTGAAGAGAATAGTTTGTTGTTGTAGTTATGAGTTGGCCCCAACCGTATCCTCATTCTTTGCTGCATATGTAACAAAATAAATGATGCAGAATTTCTCAAAAAGACTAGCATTAATCAGTGAGGAGTCCAAAGTCACAATTGGATCATTGGATATGAAATCGATGGTAGTAAATAAAATAAAGCACTCCTAGTCCTATTTATAAGGTAGGAGATAATGTTAATTTTAATTCTATTTATATGAAACTTTATTATCCCACCTAGTAGAATAAGATTTATTGTTGTATATGTTCATTATTTTTTACATTCATGTTTACCTTTTTACCTTATTTTATTTAGAAAAATTATTAAAAATAATTTTTTTTAATTTGCTCTTATTGGCGGCATAAGTAGAAACTTATTAAATTTTAAGATAGAGTTAATGAGGTTTAAGATTTTTTTTTAATTTTGATAAAACATGTTAAAAGAAAAATATATAAATATATAAATTAGTTAATGAAGGCTTGAACTTAAGCTATCTATGTATTAAAAAATAAAATATGATCATGAGTGTTTTGAATATATTTATCTTTACGACACTGAAGATATTCGGCAGTCACTGAATCAGATCAACATTGCTTGTCCATCTCTCCATGTTACGCTTTTGTTAACAAGTAATTAACAGAACAAGGACAAGAGTGCAGTGCATGTACTCAAATACGGGGTTTCACATCAGAAAAATAGTAATATTGCTCGGGAAGATTTTAGCGCCATGCGTTATTGGGTTTTGTCTTGGTGTCTTTATTGGTGTAGCCAAGCAGGGGCATGAGTGTTCAAAAATGTGTGACGGGTTGATTCATGTTAATCTACGGGGGCAAAAGGACATGAGTGGGCATAACAGAGGAGAGTGGGTGAGGTTAAAGAAAAAGGAGGATACTGGCAGAGTCCTGCATCTACAAAGCAGATATAAATAGATATAGGAGACAATGCCATATGGGCTAACATTATGTTTTGAGTCCAAACTAAATGCTGACATTAAATAAACCTTAGAAATCGGGACAATGGATGGAGAAGGGAGAAGGGAGAGTCAGTCAGTGCAAATAAGGCAGTAATGCCATAGCCAGAAAGATCTCAAACACGTAAACAGTCCTCACCCCGCGAGACACAGAAAGCAATTTTTACTTGTTAGGATGTTGTGTGCATAGTCTGGAAAACCTATCCTAACGGTAAGTATTCTTAACAAGAAGGGGGCCATTATTCTCGGATCTTGTGCCCACTTACTTCCATTTCACCTCTGAGTCCAGACCCCTTCTTGTTTCATCCTTGCTTTGCTTCCGCCCAATGCTGACCCCCCTCTCTATCCTATTTCCACTCAAAATTATCAAATTCATATTATAAACCATTTCTAATCATCTCACTAAAAATAAAGATAAGGTAATTAAACAATTAATTTTATCTGAAAATGAAATAAGGATAGGACGGATATAGTACTTATTTTGAAAGCTTATGTTATTACATTGACATGATTATTTGTTTCATACTTTAAGTGATTCTACTATTTCATATGTGTGTGTGCGCCCCTCCTTTTAATCTCAAGTAATGCATAATCAAATCTTTACTCATGTGAATTATATTTTGAGACGTTAATTTTTTTTAAAAGTGTTATTTTAAAATCTAGAGAGTAGTATAAAAATATGATGACTTCAATTGTAACAGCCGCATTGATTAATAACTAGAATTAGGCAGCTCACGTCTACCACGTGCATCGTGAGCGTAAATGGAGACAATTTGGAGGCGTTGTGCAAATCAAAAGGGGAAAATTAATGAGAAGTTCCGTACAAAAATTTTAATTACCTTAAAATATCATTAAATGTATAAATTATTGTCAAGTCCTAAATCCTATACAATTACAACTTGACAAAGAAAAATGATAACTTAGCCAAGTTATATTTATACAAGATTTGAGATTTGAGAATATTTTATGTATTTTATAGGATTTCTTGATAAATAAAATCTTTACAAGCAATCTTGGAGTGATTTTCTAATTAAAAGATATCACGACTACAATTTTAAGCATTGCATTTTGCTAACAAAATAAACCAGGAAAAAGTATATCTGATCCCAAATACTTAGGCATGTCAAAAAAAAAAATCAAACCATAAAAAACCCTGTACTCCCTCCCTCTGTTTTAAATTATAAAATATTTTTAAAATATTTTTGACATCTCAAAATATAATATATTTTAAAAATATTAAGGTCCCATTAAATATGCAAATTCTAATTTACACTTTTCTTTCTCTATTTAATTTCCTTCCCTCTCTCTTTTCAATATATAATTAAATGAATGGTGTTTTTAAAAGTTTATATTTTCATTTTAAAAAAAATACTTCCTCCATTTCTATATATAAGAGAAAATAACTATATATATACAGTTTAAAAAATTGATTAACTATGCTAATTGTATTTGAAAATAAAAAACTACACTAAAATACTATTGTATTTAATCAAAATAAGGTTGCATGAATTATTTCTCCTAAATGAAAATTATGAGTTTATGATGAGTAATTTAAACCAAGAGCAATAAATGCTTATTAAAATAAGTGATTTTGTTTGTGAAAAATAAAATAACAAGTGACAGATTATCTTATACATAGAAATAGAGGAAGTAAGGTTGTCAAGTACATTTAATAAAGTTTACTAGTATGTGATATTTTGTCTAAAAATATCTTATAATTTAAAATAGAATAATTATTTATTAAGAAAAATTTTAGTTTGGTCCATTTGACCAAACATAATGAAAAAAAAAAACCCTTTAAAGACTAAGATTTCACTGCAGACCAAAGTAGTGAAATGAAATTAAAATGCAAACTAAAATTATCTCATTGACTCTAGTGACTTAAGGTTGTTAAAAGACACATGCAAATTATCCACAGTAAAACTATTCATTTCTATATTGAAGTGGTTAATTTTCTTATAGGAATTGTTGGTGTGCATAATTTTACTTATTTTTATTCAAACTGTTGTTATCATAGTAAATATAGTTGCAAATTTGTCATATTGAATTTGTTCATTTTTCATACTTTTTTTGGTCAAGTATTCATTTTCCATACTAAAGTGATTAATTTTCCTACCAAAGTTGTTTATGCACATATTTTTACTTAATTTTATTTTTATTGATGTTAGCATGGTAAAAAGAATTGCAAATTTCTCATACTATAATTCTACATTGTCCATATTGAAGTTGTCATTTTTCCTACAAAAGTTGTTTGTACGCATAACTGCACTCCATTTTATCCTTAATATTTTTTTAAGGTAAAAATAGTTGCAAACTCCCCACATTGAAGGGTTAATTTTCTTATAAGAGTTATACGTGCACATAGTTTTACTTGATTTTATTCTTAGTGCCATTACCATTATAAAAAGAGTTGCAAATTTCTCATATTCTAGTTGTTTTGTCCATATTAAAGTGATTAGTTTTCCTACAGAAATTAATTGTGGG